GATAGATAGATAGATAGACAATTAGGCAGATAAATAGAAATACAGACAGACAGACAGATAGATAGATAGCCCGACACTGCAACCACCTTTCCATCCAATCCGCCAAGGAGGGCTTGACTTTGGATTTTTACCGCAGCTTGGCATTCGTGTGATAGTGTGAGGAGAAAACAGCGAGTTTTGCTGGGATGATTTGTCAAATCAAGCGGGGTTGTTCGGTTGTTGCCCCATAGGTTTGTCCTGACCGCTCAATTGGTTCTAAGCCAAACCAAATAGCATGATGTGGCAATAATGCGTTGTTACTTTTCAACCTAACGGAAAAAACAGCCGGCTGGCAGAGACTTAATTGGATTGCAGAACTGACTCTTCACGATTCACGATCGTATGTTTCTACCTTGAAAACCGGAGAAATTGGAATTGAAAGAGAGTTCGAAGATAAGTAAACAAGTCTTGGCTCTAGTGTAGTTCCGGTAGATCAGGCGTGGTAGTTTTAGCCAGAATTCCCAATCTTGGGAAGTTTTTGGCGATGAATGTCCGACAATTTCCCCAGGTAGCCACAATGCTTCATGGTGCCTTGGCAGACAAATAGCATCAATTTTGAACATGTTTAGGGCAGTTTGCACCATGATCGCCATGTCTGATCATCTAATTCACCCGTAGATTCGCCTCAAGCGAGTTCCGCCGAATTGGCGGCAGTTTGCCAACATGGCCCATGATTCAAGGAATAGGTGTAATGTGATGCCATGTGATGCCCTATCTTTGAGTCGATAGCCAAGGACTAATCCATCCAGATACTTCGATAATATCAGTGCCTTCAACACCGAGCAACTTGGTGCAATTGCTAACCCAGGTGGAGTCAAGCGTCCCAAAAACAACAGAAGCCTCAGCAAGGGGAGATTGGGAAACAGCTAACTCGAAGCAACCAACGTCGCTATTTGACAACTTGTTTTCACGTGTTTTGACAGCTGTCCACTAACTTTTGAAAACTCTGCGATGACACCATGGTCGCCTGACCCTTGCGCTCGGCCCCAGGAACATCAAACTCTGCAACGAAACCCGCCTGATGAACAGCAAGGTCAATTGATCGTATTCCCCATGATTCAACATCCTGCAACATTCCCAGCATTCCCGCAATGACGAAACTCGCAGTCCAGTTGCGGTAAAGTTCTGTTCATTCTGTTCGAAGATCATTGTTGCTACTTGGAAATGATTTCACAGTGGTACTTGCATGACTTGGGACATCTTGGGACCTCTTGTGGCCGTCCTCATGTAGGCCATGGGGCAATACGCTCGTGTCACTGGAGATTGGGATGGCATTGACAATAGCAACCTGACGGCAACGACCAGCATTGGATACTGCTGAGACATGCTGAGACCACGCGGAGCTGAATGGTCAGCCTGGTCTTTGGGAGGTTCTGGGAGCCGGTCTTGCACCTCGTGCAACTCATATCAACACACTGTCTTCTGCTATATTGTTGAAATATGTTGAAATGTTTCCTCCAGATGTCCCATCGATCCCATCCAGGGCCTCCCTTCACGGTGCCACCGGTGTCAGTGATTCTCTTTTTTGAGAAAGTATTTGTTCGCCTGGGTTGAAGGGGCATGGTTTGTCGGGCCCCTTTCAGCTTTACAGCAAACGCTGCCGAAGCTGGCTCATCCACGTGTTTTTTGCCTTTACGTTCCCTTTTGACTCCCGAGGCTTTTTTCATCACCCAAGATCATGTAGATGCTTTATGCTATGGGACCAGCAGATTCTTTGGTTTTCTGTCTTTTGGGCAACACACCATTTTCTTATGTGTCCAAAATGCAACGTTTCTTACGTGTCCAAAATGCAAAGACACATGGTGAACAATACCTTCGTCTCCCATGTTTCAATGTGTGTTAATCAGGAAACCTGCATGCCATGCAGTTCGGGAATTGCAACCATATTTCCAGTTGCCCAGCATAGTCTGGGTATCTAAGAGATTTGGATTGTTAAGGTTCTGAAAGATTTCATTCTGTGCCACCAGCTGGCCATCAGGACTCTCGAAATCATGACCAATCAGAGTTGTGGCAAGTTCTTGGTGGACGTGTTTCCAGCTTGTCTATGGACAACCTAGAAGTGAAACTTCCAAGTTGTGGAAGATTAAAAATACAGAGCAAAACCAGATTGACAACGTAACACACAACCAAGCAGCACCAGTAAACGCTAAATGATTGAACTGAACATTACCCTACAACACTCCCACACCTCACCCCAGCACAAGTCAAGACAACAGAGTCGACTGAGCACAGCTCAACACCACTGTAACTCAACGCAAATAATTCCAGTCGTAAAATCTCGTAAATGTGTGTTTCATATGCGCAAGAAAAGTACAATGGGCTGATGCCCTGGTGCCGCCGATCCTCCCCTTTGAGCTCGAAGGGCACGGCATATGGTTGCCAGCATGACAGCCATATTTTGTAAGCGCCCCTGGGCCAAGCCAACCATAGATATGTGGAAAGCCTTAGTTCTTGGGAAAATGCTAAACAATGAATGGATTCTCCATGGCTATATGAATAGTTAATCAAGGCTGGAATCAACAATATGGCTCATGCCTGCAGCGTGACAGCTAAACGCCAAGAAAAGAAAGATTTGGGCCAAGGCACCGTCCGAAAACAGCACCGCCCCAGGTCCCGGCCGGAGGCTCATGCCGTGAACACCAATGGACTGCCGCGGCCATATAGCCAGCCAAGCAATAGGACAAGCAAAGCTTTGCGACGTGGGCGCCGCCCCAGCTAGTGCCAAAGCGAGGTCGGCGGATTTTTCAAAACATAATGCTATGTGCTACTGGCGCTGTTAATGGACCCGCTGTTTTTGTTGATGCATTGCACAATATTGCAGATCAGTTAGAAGTTGGGCAAGTCAGTTAGAAGTTGCGCGGGACAGTTAGAAGTTGCGCACGTCAGTTGGAAGTTGCGTGTGATTTTCATGGGGAACTGGGTGGGGTGGGGCGTGGGGAGGCAAGGGGCATGCACGTTGATGCTACGCTGAAGAGAAACTAGACGACGGATGCCCGAGAGCGTAGAGGAGCAGGGTCTTCTCTTGTTAGTATGGAGACACCATATTACAAAACAATGTATTAAGATGTGTTATAGGCATACGAGAAGAGGAGTATCAAGCCAATATAGCACAAGTACAAACAGACGCTTGTACACACAGACGCTTTTACACACAGACGCTTTTACACACAGACGCTTTTACACACAACCACTTTTACACACAAAAGCTTTTAGCCACAGAAGCTTTTACACACAGAAGCTTTTACACACAGACGCTTTTTCACATAGACGCTTTTACACACAGGCGCTTTTACACACAGAAGCTTTTACACACAGACACTTTTACACCCAGACCCTTTTACACACAGACGGTTTTACACACAGAAGCTTTTACACAGAAGCTTTTACACACAGAAGCTTTTACCACAGACGCTTTTACACACAGACGGTTTTACACACAGACACTTTTACACACAGACACTTTTACACACAAACACTTTTACACACAGACGCTTTTACACACAGGAGCTTTCACACGCAGAAGCTTTTACACAGAAGCTTTTACACAGACGCTTTTACACACAGACACTTTTACACACAGACGCTTTTACACACAGACACTTTTACACACAGACACTTTTACACACAAACGCTTTTACACACAGACGCTTTTACACACACAGACGCTTTTACACACAGACGCTTTTACACTTTACACCACAGAGACTTTTACACACAGAAGCTTTTACACAAAGCACACTGCAGGTTTTACATAGACACGTTTACACACAGAAGAAATCGCAATTTTACTTCAGTTTTTGGCGATCGAACCTCATGTCGTGCGAAAAGGTTGCGCGGGACCCCTTGAAATCGCAATTTTACCTCAGCTTTTGGCGATCGAACCTCATTTCGTGCGAAAGGGTTGCGCGGGACAAGTTGAAATCGCAATTTGACTTCAGTTTTTGACGATCGAACTTCATTTCGTACGAAAGGGTTGCGACGGGAACCCGAAAATCGCAATTTTACTTCAGTTTTTGGCGATTGAACTTCATTTCGTGCGATTTAAAGGGTTGCGCCGGACAAATTGAAATCGCATTTTTATTCCAGTTTTTGACGATCGAACCTCATGAGGGTTGCGCCGGACAAGTTGAAATCGCAATTTTACCGCAGGTTTTGGCGATCGAACCTCATTTCGTGCGAAAGGGTTGCGCGGGACCCCTTGAAATCGCAATTTTATTTCAGTTTTTGGCGATCGAACCTCATTTCGTGCGAAAGGGTTGCGCGGGATCCGTTGAAATCGCAATTTTACTTCAGTTTTTGGCGATCGAACCTCATTTCGTGCGAAAGGGTTGCGCCGGACAAGTTGAAATCGCAATTTTATACCCCAGTTTTTGGCGATCGAACTTCATTTCGTGCGAAAGGGTATTTCGTGCCGTCTCGTCGGCACTGCCCCTGCCCCCGCCTTCAGAAGAGAAATAGAAAAGAAGGAGAGGGCAAGAGGACAAGAGGAGAAGATGTGAAGATGTGAGGGCAAGAGGGCAAGAGGGCAAGAAGGCAAGAGGAGAAAATGTGAAGATGTGAGGATGTGAAGATGTGAGGATGTGAAGATGTGAAGATGTGAGGATGGGAAGATGTGAAGATGTGAAGATGAGCAGATGTGAAGATGAGAAGATGTGAAGATGTGAAGATGTGAAGATGAGAAGATGTGAAGATGAGAAGATGAGAAGATCTGAAGGTGAGAAGATGTGAAGGTGAGAAGATGTGAAGATGATGAGAAAATGTGAAGATGAGAAGATGTGAAGATGAGAAGATGTGAGGATGAGAAGATGTGAAGATGAGAAGATGTAAAGATGAGAAGATGAGATGAAGATGTGAAGATGAGAATATGTGAAGTTGAGAATATGTGAAGATGAGAAGATGAGATACAGACCCCCACTATTGGAAGAACCCTGCGCTCAGACGCTCTCGGGAAAAATTCCCGCCTTCTCAGCCTCAGGAGCCAGATATGCCAGCAGCGCTTCCCGCAGTTCTGACACCGGTAACCACTTACTGCTGCTGTTTGCCCTAACTGGCAACCCCGCAGCATTGCTCATTTCTCGCAAGTGATCTCGACCCATCTCGGCCACAGCTCCTAGCAGCCACTCTGGGCCCCTGATGGCGGCTTCCTCTCGCAACTGCTGCAGCTCCACTCCCGGCTGCGGAGCAGCTGCCTCCAGAGTTGTTTAACCAACCATAGAATGTCTGAGAAGTGCGCTCCAATACAGCAACAAGCAATCCCAGAACTTCCATTCCTCCTTATTTAATTTAAGGAGTTTTTTTTAAAGGAATTCCACCTTAATTAAGGAGGAATTCCCTTAATTAAGGAGGAATTTTTCCTTAATTAAGGAATTCCACCTTAATTAAGGAGGAATTCTCCTTAATTAAGGTGTTTTTTTTTGAAAATTCCTCCTTATTTTTCTTTTAAGGATGATTTTTTCACTGTTTTTAGATACATCTTTGACATCATCATTGCATCAAGACCAACCTTTGGAGGTTGCTTCAAAGAGATGCAAGATCTCCTTTTGGTGTTTTGATTTCCTGCATGTACTGTTTGTGCATCGCATCTGCAGTTGATTTCTCAAGATGAATAGAGCTAAGAACACTGCTTCTGTTCAAGACCTTTGCAAATGTTTGAAAGCAGAGGTGGCTTGTTTGGATCCCAAGGAGTACTTGGACGTTGAAATTGATCAAGTTTGCAAGCATTATCGAAAATTTCTGAGCTTGATGTTCCAGAAAACAATTCGACCATCCAAAGACTGCTTGAAGGAAGCTGCCTTGAAAGTCAACCCTCGCACTTTGAGTGACGAAGCGAAGAAGTGGTCTTCTGCAATTGTCGAATGTGTGCAACACATCAGAACAAAAGCAAAATGGTCAATTTCAAGTAAGAAATATGAGCCTTGGATGGGTGAGCTTGTGAAGATCTATCTGGAGTGCTCAGAATTCCATGGGAACCGGCAGAAAGGCAAGTTTGTTCAGAAAGCCATTTCCAAGCGAAGGCTCATGAGACAAAGTTCCAATGCGAGCTCCATCCCACAGTTGCCTGTGAATGAACCACTTGTGCAAAAAATTCCTCCAGGCCACAGCTCAGAAACATTGGATAGCCAAGAGCATCAATTGATAGAAGTGTCGAGTGAAGAGAGCCAAGCGAGTCCTAAGAAGCCTGTGAGTGCTGGAACCTGGATCGATTCTACTGCCATGGTGGTATGTCGCTTTGTGGATAGCAAGGTGGAGAAAGCTACTATGAGTGAAGGACCAAATGGCTTTGCCATTGCTGCTTTTGGTGAAAACAAATTTGAATCTGAAATTCCCAATGAATCTTTGAAGATCTATAGGCAATCTGCAGGTGGGAAAAAGCCTGCTGCAGTCTTGAAAAGGCCTGCTGCAATCTCGAAAAAGCGTGCTGCATGTGAAGCAGTACTTGGCACTTCTGAAGAAGAGGATGTTGAAGCTCGGCCGGCTGTTGCAGTTGCTGATCCTGAACCTGCTGCTGTTGACTTGACATCTCCTGAATATCGCTTGGAAGATTATCCTGCCAAAGGCAGTCGAAAGTATGGTGCTTTAGGTGTCAGACGAAATTTTGGAGACAAGAAACAAATCAAATCTTTCACTTTGAACAAAATTTCAAGAGAAGTTGGCTTGGATTTGGCCCAGAAATGCATTGCTGATTTGCACAATGGTGCTACTGAACAATCTGTGATTGAATTTTTGAATGAGGAAATTCGAAAGTGGAAGGTTGGACAGGATGTGGATTAGATTGGATGAAATTGCAAAAAAAATGGCTGCTGATTTCTGTTGCATGTTTCAAGGAGGTGTAAAATCTCCTGAGAGTTCTCAATAGGAAAATAGGAAATAGTCTTTCCACTTTTCTGTCTTAAGGAGGTGCAAGATCTCCTGACATTTGGAACTTGAGCGTTTAGTGCCTGGGTGGATTTCAAAAATGGCTTATAGACTTTCATAGGATGTGGCTTTAATGTTTAATGTTGGATTGGAATTCTGGATTTGAGAAGTTTTGTCTGGAATTTGGAATGTTGAAATTGTTTGGCATGGCAATTGCAGTGTTGAGAATGGATTTTGCAACTGAAGCTGCTTTGGCTTTCTAGCTCCTGTTTCAGTGCTCGAATTTTTTTCTTGCTGTTGCTATGGGAGCTGGACAATCAAGTTCCTCTCGCAGGAGGCCTGGAGATGAGGAGATTGACCGTGTTTTGGAGCTGATCAGGCTACAAAACCAGGTGATCCAGGCATTGACACCTCATGTCAATGCCCAATCGCAACCTTTACCACCTCCAAATACACCTCCTCCAGCACCTATTCCAGGTGCCCCTCCAAGTTCTCATGACCCTCCAGGTGCTTCTCCAATGCCCCTTCCAATGCCCCCTCCAAGTACCCCAGCGCCTGCCACCTCGCCTTCTACAAGCTACTTGAGAACATTTCCTGGATGAAGGAATGATCTACACAGGCTGGAGTTTTCTGTGACTGTGGATTGAAAGCATCTCATGTCAACCATGCACTGTGCAATATGTTCATCATCATGCCTCCTGATCAGGTCCTGCTGTAACCCCATATTCTCCTACATCACCTATTGATGCTGGAGAGCAAGCCGAAAAATCCAAAGAGGATGAGGATTCAAATGTAGATTGAGTCAATTGAGCTTCCCTGGAAAAATGATTGGAGATTATGGACGCAACGACTCTTTAAGGAGGTGCAAGATCTCCTTGATAAACTAAATTTAAATTTAAGTAAAACATGATATCTGTGATATGAGCATTTCTGCATGGCTGAAGCTGTCAAGTCATATTGATCAATGTAGTTGTGATGGACCTGTAGAATCATTTTTGAAGCCTTGATGGATGCACATGATCAGCTTTGGAATGATGATGAGAGCTGATGATCTGAACCTGAGGTATCACAATCATTGCACTAGTGTCCAATACTGGAATCAAAACGGAGGTGCGAGATCTCCTTGGCCGAAGCTGATGCCCATCCATTTCCTTTGTTTGAGTGGCTCTTGGCAACTCTGGATACAATTCATTCAGGTCATGCATGATGACTGTAAAGGTTTCAAATTGGAAAAATAAGGAGGTTAAAATTGGTTAAAATTAAAATTGCCAATTTTAATTTTAACCAGTTTGTGTATTACTTTTAAAGGCAGGATAGGTTAAAATTAAAATTGGCAATTTTAATTTTAACCAATTTTAACCTCCAATAAAAATCACTTTGGATCCAAAATAGAAACCATCGGATTTGGAACTGGAGATTCATAGACATCACAAGGCTTTCCCCTGCAGCTTCCTGGGGCAACCTTGGGTTCAATACTTTATGTATATATATATATACATACATACATACATACATGCAGGGTACGCAGTGAAGGAAGGCAAAAAGCATGCAGGCCCACAGCCCCAAAAATGGGCCCGCGTCGCAGCGCAAGCCAAAGGAACGTTTCAAAAGGTGCAGGGATGCCCGTGCTGTTCTGCAGCAAGCATGCGAGGTTGAACTTTGACTGCCACAAGCAATGCAAAGACATATGCACAGCCAGCGGCAGTGTACAGGACCCTAGGCGCAACCCTCGGCACCCCCAAGGCAGCAAGGCTTTTGTGAGTGGCAACGTTGATTCCTGCGGAGCGGGGCCATTTCTGCGTGCGCATGCCCACACGCGGAAGCAGCGTTAAATTAGCAATTCGTATATATTGGCTTGGCCGCAACAACTTACTTCATCATTACACTTTTCAGTTTTCAATGAAAGGTTCAATGGAACCTCCAAAGGAACTGCCTCCATGGAGGAAGCAGCCACTGGCCACCATTGAGAAGAACCCTGTGGACCCAATGGACAAGCAGATCTCAGGCCAGGCCAGGCTTTGGATGACAAGGGGGTCAGTAAGCCTTTGAAGGACCAAGGAGTTTCAGAATGTGTGCAACAGTCTGAATTCCTGCAAGAATGCCTGGGAGAAGGAGCTTGCCAAGGCCCAGGACCTGGCCTGTCGTTTGGAAATCAAAGGTGACCCAAGCTTCCATGCCAAAGGCAAAGGTCTTCAGACTTGGTGTCAAGAGCAGTTGAAAGCCATTGCCAACCTTCGATCCTATGTCGCAGCCAGTGAAGATCTTGCTCCTGAGGACACTTCTCCTGAAAGCCTTTCGAAATCATTGCCTGCTGCCAAAGCATGGCTTGCTTCCAGCCAAGAGAAGCTGCAAGAAGCAAAAGCCAAGGTGAAAACTCACCAGGCATTGCTGTAGCTGTTTGGCCCTTAGATTTTGGAAAGCGCATTTGGTGCAGTTGTCAGTTTTGGAATGTGGAAATGCAGATTAAAATATCGCAGGGATCTGCTTGGAAGATGCGCAGCTGGTAACTGTCGCTGGAAAAAGAGCCTGCTTCTAAGCTGGTGTACAAGACTCAAGGAGGTGTAAGATCTCCTTTACTGTTTCCCTGTTTCAAAGCATTGGCCAAATTTAGCATTAACTAAATACAATGTGTAACTTCTTGTCTTCTGAGATCTTATGAACTTTTATGTTGACATGTTTTTCCAGCTCAAGCCATGTTTCACAAGAGAAGGGCAGATTTGTCTACCCTTAGGGAACCTGACCAGAAGAGGTTTCGACACAATGTGTCCAATTTGTTTTTGACCAAGACTGTCTCTGCTAGAAGAGCCAATGAGCTCATGAAAGATGCACAAATAGCTGGAGCTGCTGGTGTGAAAGATTTGGTCAAAGGTGCAGAGAAATCAGGCAGTGGTGAGAAGCAAGCCAATTGGGAAAAGAATTTGGCAAGGGATATGAAAAGAAAAATGTTGAAGAACTGCCTGTGGTTCAATGAATACATTGCATTGATCCCTTGCTACAATCCTGGAACACAAGCAGAAGAGATGAAGAAGATACCTTTTCTTTTGCCACATGAGATTCTTTTTGTCTTCTCGAAGCGCTCTGAGAAGAAAGACTTGCTGCAGACTGGTGGCATGTGTGAACTCAGCAAGAAACATTTGGCGAACATGCAAATGCAGTTCCAAGTTCGAGAAGCCATAGGACTTGGCCTTTGGATCGATGGCACACCTTACAATTATGACAGAAGTCAAACTTTGGAATGCATCTCATTGAATTTTCCTGGCTTACTTCCACCTAATGGTACTTTGCGAATCCCTTTGTGCTGTATTCCAAAGCACTGGTGCATCAAGGGAGTAAC